GTAATTTTCTTCAACATAGAGTTATGCTCGGGGGGGGGGGGGGGGTCCTTATTTACATCAACTGTATAAATAATTCCTAAGCAAAATGCAAATTTATTTCAAGCTGACTTTCATCGGAACAAATTAAACAGAATAGACAAAGAAAATGTTATTTAAAAAAATTACATTTTTTGCATCTTCATAATTATTTCAAAATTTATTTTTTAAGCAAATACTTAGTATTTTTGAATTCATTAGCACTTTTGTGCAATTAGTTTATAGCTTTCCGGAATCATGACATTTCACCGTTCACTATTTTTCGATTTGAGCTTTCTTAGAATACGACCATACTGTAGAAAAAGATACAAGAAAGCTTTTAAAATATTTTAGTTAAAGTTTACATGCTATATACACATGTAATATTTTATTTGTGCGATTGCGAAACCTACATTTTTACCAGGGAGATACGCACAGCACCTTCCTTTAACCAGTAACCAATAGAATGAAAGCAGAGAGGGAAACTCCCCCCCCCCCCCCCACTTATTTTTTTTTCTATGAGAATATTCTCTTCCTGTTAATTTTAAGTACAAAATTATTTGTTCAAAGGTCGCCCCCCCCCCTTCCAGACACACACAGCTTCAATTGTTGAAATAGGTTCAAAGCCCTCATATCACATATATTTTCAAACAAAGTGGGGTTCAGTTCTCCTTTAATTTTTTGATTATCTTGAACTTTGAACTAATGTCCTTTTAATTTGGTTGGAGACATTTTTGCTTGTTATTTATATCCCCCTTTTTGGAAAACAACGCCACACTTAATAGTCTATAACTGTGCTTATCGATATGATGAACAATGGAATAAAATCAAAATATCTCACTACATTTTCACGAGGTACTTTTTTCTAAAATGAAAAAAGCGCTTTTAAGCAACTCGTATAAGTACATTGGGTGTTCTCTCTCTACATCTCTCTTAAAAAAATAAAAATGTTATATACAAACTACCGTTTAGTATTAAGACTAATTAATACATTAATGACTAAGTCAAATATAAGCATTTGCAACTTGCTCAGAAAAAAAAAACATATCTGTAGTTTTGCATTCTATATAGATATCGCTATTAATCGCTTTATACCTGACAATGTGTTCAATGTAGCGTTTGGGTTATGTAGTGTAAAATATTTACACAGAAACATGATGATGAATAAATAAATGTCCTAAATAGTAAAAAATGTTTTAATTAAAATTGTCTCCTATAAATTTCGTTTAATTAGATATTTTTATGAGGAGAGTAGCGTATCAGAAACCCTTGGCTAGCGAAGATGGCTACACCTGGAAATCCAGTTTTATTTCTTTCTCTTTACACGTGAACACAAAACGCAGTCGAAAAAAATCTCAAATGTCAGTTTTGAATATTTTTAATATTCCAAACAACCAAAATGAATTTGAATTACCATATCTATATTGGATTCAGAAACTTCATAAAAATCCTTACAAACAGAGATACATAGCGGGCTCCATTTATTGATCTACCACGCCTCTTTCTTTACTCCTGACTAAGATATTAACAGTGGTGAAGGAGAAACTTCAAGAGTACTGTGCAACAATATATTCGAGAAGTGGTGTAAATCAGATGTGGATACTTAAAAATTCCAAGGAACTTTTGGAAAATTTGAAATCACAAGATTTTACCAAAATCAACAGCTTAAAAACTTACGACTTTTCAACTTTGTACACAACCATTCCCCACGATAAATTAAAGTCCAGGCTTTTTGATATCATTGACAGCTGCTTTTTCAATAAAAATGGAACTCGTAAATATACTTACCTTGTCATTGGTCATTTGCAAAATTATTTTGTCAAAAAACATTCTGATTATTCACACAAGTACTCTGAAGTTGACATTAAAAAGATGCCTGAGTTTCTGATTGACAATATTTATGTGGTTTTTGGAGACCAGGTCTTCCAACAATCTATTGGAATTCCCATGGGTACCAATTGCGCCCCGTTATTAGCAGACCTTTTTTTGTATTCATATGAAGCAGAATTTGTCCAAAATCTTGTACGTGAAAAGAAGAAAACACTTGCTGTGGCCTTCAACTCGACATTTAGATATATCGACGACGTATTGTCAATTAACAATGGCTATTTCCATTCTTATGTCGATACGATATATCCTTGTGAACTTGAGATAAAAGATACCACAGAGTCTGACACATCTGTTCCATATTTGGATATTTTACTTGAAAAAGACGTTAATGGTAATTTAACAACCAAGCTTTATGATAAACGTGATGGCTTTAACTTTTCAATTGTCAACTTCCCTTACTTATGCAGCAATATACCTTCATCACCTGCATACGGGGTATATATCTCTCAGTTGATTCGATACGCAAGAGCATGCTCTACGTATGTACATTTTCTAAAACGAGGTAAATTATTGACAAATAAGTTGATGAAACAAGAATATCAGCTGTCTCGTCTAAAGTCATCATTTCGTAAGTTCTATGGTCGATACAATGACCTTGTCAGCAAATACAATTTATCATTAAGTCAAATGCTGACTGACGTTTTTCATACTAATTGTTAGGCCGTTATTTACACACTGAATTGTCGACGGATTTTTCCGTTATTTCTCGATCATGACAAGGAGCACAGGGCGGGTGTGACCGGTCGGCAGGGGATGCTCACTCCTCCATGGCACCTGATCCCACCTCTGATGTTTGGAGGTCCGTGTTTGCTCTGCTCCTATTTTGTATTGTATAATGGACTTTTGAACTTGAATACTGTTCGTTATCTCCATATATTTCACTTCCATGTTAACAATATCGCAACTTTGACGTCGTTTTCTGCGCATTGTGACGTCAAAAGATAAGGGCCCTTTTCTCATGACGGCAGTCATTTGTACACTAGATCGCATCTCAGCGAAAGCGATTTTTTTTAGCTTAGCCAATCAAATGTTTCATATGGCGAGATTAACCAATAAGAATTGATTAGTTAAGATTCCCGCGACTAGATAATTCGTTTGGTTAAGTCTATATAAAGGGTGCATTTTCGTCTGCTTGTTATTCTGAGAACTGGTAGTTTAGGGATAGGTTGGTAGTGTCGTTAGGTTTTTCTTTTCTTTTCTTTTAATTTTATTTATTTTACTTTAGGATTAGATTTTTATTCATTTATATTTAACGGAATAACAACTGATGCAGTGATTTAACTGTGGGTTGTAATTTCCGTGATTTTTATTGAGTTAGTAGATTTTTTCGTGAATTCTTAGATTTATAAATTGATTGAATTTTGAGATATATTTGATTGAGAAATATTTTTGAATAGGTAAAGAGTTAGTTTGATTATCATTGGTAATTTATTTAATTATATTTTTAGTAATATTTTTTCATTTTGAATTTATCGATAAATAATTTAAGAACAAACCATTCGTAAATTAATTCAGTGCGTTAATTGTTGTATGCATCTGTGAGTTAGTCTTTAGTTTATATGCTAAGTAGGTTAACTATTGTGAACAATGCAGGAACTAAACTGTGTGTTCATACGTTAGTAAACATTATTATATGGTTTAGGTTAACTATAGTGAACAAGTGAGTAATTTAACTCATTTTACAAATTGATATATCAAATCCTGTTTCCATTTAATAAAATATTATTATAGGATTATTTAATCAGAGTTATTCCCCTTTGTTTTTATTCTTGAAGTACATTTCTTAATGGAGGGAACACTTGACAATTATGTGGGTTATTGTTGTTTATTTTTAATACATTTGGTTATGAATTGAAATTATACAGCTCGAATGTTGTGTGAGAGTGTTGTTCATATGTTGTTATTTGCTTTAATTTAATAAAGAAAAAGGTACGGTTTGGGCGAAAATCTGCCCGGTCCAAAAAATCAACCAAAATACAACATAAACTAATTTATGAAAATAATTATTTTAACTTGATATCTTTTAAAGCGCCTGAAATACATATCTTCAAAAATGCAGTACTGCTATCTTGACGTTACCTTTTTTTGAGCAAAAACAGACACCTAAATTAACTTCTTATCCAATTATTTGCCAAAAAAAGTACCGGTATGTATTGTACATGTATTTGGTCGAATTTTTATTGAAGTTGATTATAAATATGACATGATTGTTAAGAAACCCCCTTGGTTAACCCTAACCAGCGGAAATCCAAAATAGAGGTCAAAGGTCAATTAAGTGCATAATTTTTACTTTTTTTTATTTTCAATTTTTTGATAAGTTTCACAGCAAAGGATGTTTAAAAAAGTAATTATTTGTATATTTACTGAAGTTCATCATACTGAACTATACTGACAATGCCTTTTTTCAAATCTGTATAGTATACTGTATGTGTACTTAAAAAAGCGGGCTTCATATTTTAGCGGCTTTGGCACGCACAACGATGCGCTAATTCATGAATACCGCTAAGAAATCATTTCCTAATACAATATTCAGCACGAACATGTGTAGCACTAATTTATGATTACGCCAACAACTCCATACCCCTTGACTGCACTTAATTTTGAATACGCCAATATATGTACATGTACAGTATGTTTCAGGTTGCTAAGCAACGAAAAAAAATGATTTCAGAAATTAAAGTTTTTTATTGTTGCTAATGCTTATAAAAGACACCTTTTCTCTTTCCATGATATACTAAAGTAAGACATGACGTCATAATATTGCAGTGAACTCAAGATAGATTGCATCTTAATGAATTACATTTACCATAACTCATAATTGTTAATTTGGAATGTACACATACATTTGTATAGCATACAGGTACTATATAATTTGATAGGAATATTGCTTTTTGGCTGACATAAAACACATAAACACTCTTTTACAGTAAAAGTAACATTTTAATTTACAATTCAGAGAATGAATATTTATTTCAGAAAAGATATTTTTTCAGCTAACAGAATCTAACAGTTCATTTTGTATATAACAAAAATAATTCTACCTTTCCTCTTTCAAAAGGAACTTCATTTACAAAATCATTTTCAATTTTATCTGCTCAGTAATTTGTTCATAGATGAGATACTAAAAAAATAACAATGTAACTTGATGAAGGTTTTTATCAACAGAGAAACAACAGAAAGAAGCAAAAAATATGTTACTATCCGAGAAGGAAAATGTAGACATATATAAAAGTTCCAGAAATGTTTTCTGTTCTACTCATACCACCCTCTCCTCACACACACAGACACACGTACTATTGTTTCACACCACTTCTCTTTCTATCTCTCATGCTTCCTCCCTCTCTCTCTCTCTCTCACTCTTCCACACCACTGTCATCTTCATCACTATCAGATCCGTCTATAATGTCCTGGATGTCCGAGGCGTCCTCCAGTGATGTAGTCCAGTTTCGAACTCCCTTCAGTGACTCCTGATATCGCCCAAAAGAGAGGTACCATATTACACTGGTTACATGACCGCACATTCCAACAACTCTGGTACCAGCTTTACATTTGCAGTACCATCCATCCACCACTCCATCATTGAAACTGACCCAGCATCTGTACTGTTTGGCAGCTATATGTCTGCTTTGAATCTTAGCACTCACCAACCCAGGAATTTCATCACTAATGAAGATTTCAAAACCCCCCTCTTCATCAATGTGTTCTTTAGCATAGGAATGGGCCATGCGAAGCTGATATATCCCAAGAGTAAGTTGGCGCAATTCAGTTTCTTCATAGCATGGGAAATCTTTGGCAACATTCTCTGCGTCAACTTTTGTCCAACGCAATCCTCTTCTGTCAAGTCCCTCAATTTCCACACGTTCCTGTAAAATGCATAAAAGTTCAGTGTTATCGTACAAGTAAAGGTTTTTTTTTTACTTAATGGAAGCAATTGAAACATTCAGCTTGCCTGCATTTTATCATGATACAACTGTACACTATTTCTGTGTTCAGTTCAGAAAAAAAATCTCTAATGCAATGAAACCAATTATGATGAAAGACAAAAAAAAATATTGTCATTGACTTAAAGACAAAAATGAACTTGCCATTTCATTATAAAACCACAAAACATATATTTACCTGTAGAGTATTAACTCTCTGTGAAAGGTGGAGCATTTTCGAGGCAAGTTGTTGATCTTCCTCTAATGAAACACTAAGTGGTGGCCTATACTTATTGCAAAGAGCTGCTACTATTCTCACATAGTCACCAATAAATGGAATTTGCGAGTTGGGTAACGTTTTAGCTAAATACTGCCACTGTTTCAGTCGCCCATTTGTTGCTTCAACAATCCATCGAACCTGAAAAGTGAAAAACATACACATGCCAAATAAAACAACATTTTATAAAAAAAAAATTTCTCAATATAGAACATGTATTTCATATACAAAGTAATGTTAATCATAATGATCCCCCCCCAACACACACACATTCTCGATATAGGATTTTGATGATATTTTTCTTTATTTTTTAAGATTAGTTTACTGATAAAAATATAAATCTAAATATAACAGTAATGTATTACATTAAGTTTACAAACTAACCTACATATACTAGTATACTTAAATAATTAAAAAAAAAATATTACTAGTACCTTTGTCACAACTCTGGACAAGTTAGAATCAAACGTGGACAGCTGCTTAGTTCCTTTTTTCATAAATGCAGGCATCTCCATCCTGATTCCAATGTCTTCCAATAAATCCTGGGCATCCTTGAAACCACGATCAACAACAAAGACATCGTCTTCTTGTAGCCAGTTCCTGAGTTCTTCTGCATTGTTGTAAATCATATGCTTCAATATGTTAGCATCATTATTCTTTGCATCAGCAAGATAAGGCCCAAGAACCGATACTATATATCCACTTGTAGTCACCACCATCATAGGTTTCACAAGGGGTCTGTGTTTATACAAACTGTATGATCGCCGGGCAAAAGCAAAATTGGAACTTCTCTGTATATAGACGTATGTTCCATCCAATACTAAGATTGCAGGGTTTGATGTTATATCATCTGTCAATAGATTTCTTGCCAGATCACGGGTGTGGTATTGAATGACTTCGTCCCGTGTAATGTGCCGAAATCCAAGATTATATGGAACAAAGTCTCTCATAAGCCCTGTTCTGGCAGACACAATAGCTCGTCGAACCTGCAAAATGTTACACTTTGTAAAGTAAAACATAAATACAACATATCCTGTCTAAAATGTGGGATAAAAAATATATACATGCAATTTTCATAACATCATGTGAAACTCTTACTTGAAATTTAGTCATTCCAAATAAAACAGCAGGCATTTTGTTTGAGAGCGCTGATCTAAGTTTCATCAATAGAATGACTATACACGTCCTCTTGCTCCGATTTCTAGAAGAGTTAATACTGGTAATTGTTGAGACAATGTCATGAAATTCAAGACGAGAAAATCCTGTCAGCACTTGATAATCATTATCGTCTAGGCTGCCTTCATCATCGAAGTCAAGCCTCGATTGCTGAAATGCTTTATCACGCAATTCCTAAAAAAAAATTTAAATCGTCATCATATATGCATGCTTTTTGTCATCTTTAAAGAATTGGTAATACAGTAAAACAAGCTTACAATGAAGTGCCATGGATGGAAAAATTTGCTTCATTATAAACATTATATAATTCGTTATATCCGTCAAGTTCACAAAATAATTTGTAAAGCCACGGGGAATAAAATTCACTTTCCTGTAAGCATCCATTCACCATAAGTGTGTTTGCTATAAATGTGTTTACTATAATGATTGACCAAGTTAAAAATAATAAACATTACCTTTATGAGACTTGTGATGGATGTTTTGTTCAAAGTTGTGATCTCACTGGTCCTGATTTGCTGCATAGCTCCATCGCTCATTTTTCCATTTTCCAAGTGTCGAATACAGCACCTTGCACCAGATGGAATGATGATTTCTTGTTTGATGAATACAAACATACGAACATGATGGGAAACAGTTACAAGTTTGGGTCCCGGTTTTTTACAAACAAAGCAATAACCATGGCTTTGAGATGATGATGGAATAGGCAAGGGTACAGATGGAGGACTAGGAAATGAGCGCTTTGTATGCTTCTGTTTTGGTGATGCAAATGTTGGGTCCTCTTTTTCCTCATGGGGAGCTGGCCTGGACAATTCCAGGTCTCTTGTTGTAGACTCCTTCACTTTCCTACACTTATGTCGACATTTATTGCACAACACATCTGTGTCTTCCACATTTACAGAAAAATGTTTCTGTAAAACAGAAATAAACAAACTAGCTGGACGTCGTTCTTCAGGAGGGACCTTCTTGTTACACAGAGCACACCTATATCGTCTTTCATCCATCCTTAAAAAAGTTTAAGACAATAAATCAAAGGCAATTCTCATCTTCATCATATATTGAAAATATTAGAATCATATCATTAAATAAACAGTTTTTTTTAATTAGAGTATTAGCTCCCGGAAATGAGAACCCCTTATTAATGGGTAAAAAGATCAATAAATATGAGACCCCCCTCCCTGTTTCGGCTTAATGTGGCTTGTTTTTTTTCAAGTCAGAATATGTGTGTTTTTATTTCCATTTTTGTTCTGTTGGTAGTCTAACTGAGTTGATTTTTTGAGTGTGTGTTGACCCCCCTCCCCCGCCCCAGTAAGACACAACTTAACACAAAAACTATGTTTCTGGGTTTAGAATTTTTTTCTTGTTAGTCCCCTACCGGTGAAACCGGAGGGGACTATAGGTTTCCTCTGAGTCTGTCCGTCCGTCTGTCCGTCCGTCTGTCTGTCTGTCTGTCCGTCTGTCTGTCTGTCCCTCTGTCTGTCTGTCAGTCTGTCCCACTTGGTTTTCCGCACTTTTTTCCTAAACGCCTGCAGATATTGAGCTGATTTTTGGTATGTGAGTGTATTTTGATGAGTTACAGATCAAGTTTGAATTTCGTTCCGCTTCATTGATTTTTGACGGAATTACGGCCTTTTCAATTTTTAGGGGTTTTCCGCAATTTTCTTCTAAACGCTTGTAGATATTGAGCTGATTTTTGGTATGTGGCTTTACCTTGATTAGTTATAGATCAAGTTCGCATTTCGTCCCGCTTCATTAATTTTTGACAGAATTATGGCATTTTCAATTCTTAACGGGAACCAGATTACATGCACTTGCCGGTAGGGGACTAGTATTGCTAATGCAATACTCTCAGAATGCTTGTTATTTTTAAGATTTCTAATTTTATTTTTTTTTCTTTTGATGGTGATGACTACATTAGTATTTTCTGAGTGTTTGATGACCTGGGCCGATCCCCACCCCTGGATCCGCAATTGCCCCGGGTCTCAATGTCACGGGGTATACTATATTTCCATTGGAATTCATGCAGATCATTGTCTCTTTTAGGAGTCCGACTCACGATCACTTTACCCTAATATTTTTTTTTCAAAACTTTTTTTTTCAAACCCCCCCCCCCCGATTTTTGAGAAAAAAATAGTGTCCTATTATTTATTACATTCTGTAGAGAAAAAAAATTTATATAAATAATTTGTAATTTATATTTCTTAGAGAACGATTTAAGAACCCTCTCTACACTGCACACTAAAGAGTTCTGATTCTATGGTATTTTTCTGCAGTTGTAGTGATCTGCCCTTAGATCTTAATTCCAATAAATAGAAATTTACAGTATACTGCTCAATTTGCAATCAATACAAGTATTCTTAACATTTTAAAAGGCCAAGATAAATTAATTGAACACGTTATTTACATGTATTTTCTTCATGGAAGGAAACAATTGTGATTTCTGATCACTGATACTGTGTTGTGATTGAACATTTTTCCCCCGGGTAAATGCCACGTACCATATTAAATAGATAAGGTCAATATTTACATCTTTATTCAATATAATTTTCTCGATGTCCAAAAAAATTTTGCACTGGTGTAGAGAGGGTCCTTAACAAATGTTTTGTGTTGTTAACAAATGTTTGTGTTGTACAAAACGACAACAAATTTTGAGCTACTCTGTACCTCGCAAATATTAAAAATTATTGTCATATAATTATTTATAACAGCACGGTAGACTAGAATCATATACTGTTGTCTTATATTTTCAATACAAAAAATGTTTAACACTCTAACAATTGCAGGTGTACCACTGGCATTGCTAAGCGAAGTAATTATATTCGAGACTGAGAGGATGGGAACTTTCAGTTCCGTCTTTAGTTTTAAAACTATCTTCCATAAATTTAAAACACTATTGAGATGAAATCATTGTATCCGTTACTTGCATTTTTGGAAGGATTTATTTAATCACACACAAAAACAAATATATCAGGCATAAATTTGCAGCTATAAACATGATAAACGTTGACATACCGTCGTCTGCAAGCATGCATGTGACTGCAGACTTTTTCATACATGTTTAAATGGGTGAATGTCTCAGGAAATATTCTTGCGTATGTTTTTTTTAAATCAGAATGATTTGATATTTTTATGATTCAAAAGTGGCTTACCTGGTATGTAACTTGATTCCCCATGAACATTATGAAGTCATACAACATACATGTAACACGGTTACACCGCTCTGTTTACAATGACCATAACAACCAAAATGGCACCCGCTCCGTAAGAATGGACCGAATTTATCCGGATTTTTTAATTGTAATAAATTACAGCATTCTTAAAATCAAGTTGCAAAGAAAGAAAGATATTTTAAATCAAACGACAACCCGAATTATCCTCGTCTCCACTTCAATGAACTAAATATGTGTATTGGTTATTAGAAATCAGGTCACGGTGATTGTTGGTAAAAAAACGTTTCCATAAACATTAAAACCCCTCTGCCACTGTCGCCCGGGATGTAACTTTGACAAAATGTTTAATTTATAATAACCTTTTTTAAAATACACGGAATATCGTTCCGGGCGACGGGGGAAGAGTTGTTGAATTTTACTCATATATTTATACAAAACATTGAAAAATACCAAAATGGGGTTATCGCCCTTACTTCAACCGATTGTAAAGTACGCATGCGCAAAGATAAATTAATTTTAACATTATATTTAAATGAACTATATCTTGGTCTTTGATTTTATAAAGAAGAAATTATTGGAACTGCAAATTAATTTCCCCCCCAAAAGCCGTGCATATTATTTAGGAAACCGTACCTAGTTCTTTAAACTTTATATACTCTCTATTATTTCAAGCATCATATTATAGAGGTATATGAAAGGATTATGTACTTCATCTGTCCATATTTCTTGATGTGCATATACAGTCTGAGCAGAAGTTTAATATGTACTTCTAACACCGTCTGCGCTACACTTAGCTTCTATCATGTGTTGTATTTCGAGCATACGTGGTGTGATGGCGTTACAAAGCATTTTTAAGAAATATGCTTATCTTCAACATCTTATGTAACAATCTTAAAAAATTATAAGTTCCTTACATATCATCTATTTATGAAATACATTGATTCACTCCTTTGCTTTCAGATACTAAAAGTCAGTGACGTCATACACGATATGTAAGTACAGCGATATCAATTACTTGGTGATTACAAGGTGAGGAATATTCTGAAAAAAGAAATAAAAGAATGATCTTTGCATGTTTAAAAGGGAACTTGTGTGTGGTTATATCGTATTTCGCTTATATTTGACGTCATTGTTGGTTTTTCGGGTTATCGTGACATATAAACAAGAGGGTTTTTTATAATGCTTATATCCTCTTCAAGGATGCCCAGTGCAATAATAAGTTAAGCTTTCGATATTTTGAAAGAAATTAAAAAGAATGAAAGACTTCAGTTTCAATGCAGATTTTGAAAAATTGATTGTAATTTTTACATATTTATTTCTTATTATTGCTGTCGTAAAAATACACAATTTTTATTATCGTTTTTAAATTTTTCAAATTTTATTTATTGTGATAAACTTCTAAATTTTAAACTCTATTTATATTTTGATATATTTGAGATGGACCTATGAGTTTGAATACTCCATAAAATATGGAGATAACGGACAGTAATCAAGCTCAATGTTCATTTAAACAACAAAAATCGGTAGCAGAGCAAACACCGACCTCCAAAAATATTAGAGGTTGGGGTCAGGCGCCATGGAGGAGTGAGCATCCCCTGTCGACCGATCACACCTACCCTATAATCCTTGTTATGATCAGGAAGAAAGGAAAATCAAATTCGGTGTGTAAATAACAATTAGTTTGAAAAACGTTTGTCAGTATTTGACTTAATGAAAGATTGTATTTGCTGACAAGGTCATATAATCAACCATAGAACTTGCAAAATTATGAATTTAAACGAAACTGTTGTTATTTTTTTATTTCATGAAACGTACTCAAGCTCAAAAGCCCATTGAATCAATACAAATCGAGCAAACACAGACCTGTGATCGGGTGGCCTGAATGAGTAAGTATCTCCTGTTGACCGGTAACACACGCCGTTCTTTCCTTGTCAATATCGGACTGAAGGAAAAATCAAAAGACAATTCAGTGTGTAATTAATGGTCTAACAATTAGTGTGAAAAACGTCGGTCGGCATTCAACTTAATGCTAAATTTACTGACATTGGTTTCCATTTGAATTTCCTATGTTTATCTTTGAAAATTTTATCTCCATTATATTTAGTTATCTATTATTGTGATTTGTACAGTGTTATAAGTTTTAGAGATGCTTTGTTCAATCAAAAGGATTGAAGACAGTTCATTTCCACTAATACTCTTTTTGCTTCTTATTTAGTATGGTGACTTTAACACTTAACTGAATATTTTTCTAATTAAGCAGAATACAGAATACAATAATCTTGCTTCGTCATCTTTTGATATTTGACATCAAATAAATGCAACAAAGAATGACATAAAGATACATGCAAACCCTCTCATTTAACTAGGTAAAAGGAATGGACAAAGAACGTGTTCTCCTTCCATTAAAATACAATTATGTAAATTTCAAGCTATATTAGCATGCTGTTTTAATGTCACAAAGCTATATCTCAAGAACTATCTGTCAACTTGCATGTTCAATGTTTTGCTTTATTTTTTATTTTTTTAATTTTTGGAACTTGTCGATATTATTTCTTTTTGAACATCACTAACATACATTATTGTTTCTATTTAAGTATTCTAACACTTTCATGAATAGTTCACTTTTAAATAAATATATAGGAATTTTCTTTTAAAATGCCAACTAGGCAAAGAAACATTGAGATAACGAACAGAAGTCAAGCTCATAAGTCTATTTAAACAATACAAATCAGGAACAATCACGGACATATAAAACATCAGAGGAATGATCAGATGCCATGGAGCATCGAGCATCCCCAGTTATTTGAACAATTTCTCATATTTCACTCAGGAAT